AAGCGGTTTTCAAGATGCCGCAAAAGAGCGCCCGAAGAGGGCAAAATCTGTGATTTGCATTGTTTTTGTTGCATGTTTTTTGCATTCTCGCTGTTTCGTGTTTCCGGCGCCAAAGCACCGCGCAAGAGGCCCCCAAAAGCGTTCCCAGACGGCCCAAGAGGCCCCCAAGACGGCCCAAGAGAGCCCCGAGACGGCCCCAGAGCCGCCCAAGACTGCGCAAGAAGGTCCCAAGAAGGCCCCAAGAGGGGCCCAGAAGGGAACGCGAACTGAAAAATCAAGCTCTCCGCCCCAAGATGCCCTCAAAAGGCCCCAAGATGCCCCCTGGAAGCCCCCAAGAGGCCACCAAAGAGGCCCCAAGAGGGCCCAAAGACAGCCCAAGAGAGCCCCGAGACGGCCCCAGAGCCGCCCAAGACTGCGCAAGAGGGTCCCAAGAAGGCCCCAAGAGGGGCCCAAGAGAGGGAACGCGAACTGAAGAATCAAGCTCTCCGCACCAAGGTGTCCCCAACAGGCCCCCGGGAAGCCCAAAGAGGCCCCCGAGAGGCCCCCAAGAGGCCCCCGAAGACATGCCAAGAAGGTCCCATGACGACTTCAAGAAGCAGTCCAGGATGCTCCGAGGAGGCCCCAAGAGGCCCCCAAGCAGCCTCAAGCAGCGTCAAGAAGGCCGGAAAGAGGTCCCCAAGAGCTCAGCGGTCCAGGAGGGGGCCGAACGAACATTTCCAGCCTTGGGCTCCCGGAAGCCCAACAGGAAGCCCTGAGAGTTTGTCCATCCAGCCTAGCTAGAACTTGAGCGCGCGCGAAGCGAGCGCGATGGTTCTAGTGTGTATATATATATATATATATATATATATCCATACCTATACGACCACCCTGTGGGTGGTAAGGAGGTTCGGGGGGGGGGAACCAACGTCTCACTCGATCGGTCTCACTATCGATCTCACTATCGATCTCACTGTCGGTCTCGCTCGATCGATCTCACTCGGTCGATCTCACAATCGATCTCACTCGATCTACTTCATTCGATCGATCTCACAATCGATCTGACTATCGATCTCACAATCGATCTCACTATCGATCTCACTATCGATCTCACAATCGATCTCACATTCGGTCTCACTATCGATCTCACTATCGATATCACAATCGATCTCACAATCAACGTCATCATCATCATCGTCATCATCGTCATCATCATCAACATCATCGTCATCAACGTCATCAACATCATCATCATCAGCATCATCATAATCATCATCATCATCGGGACACCATCATTTTCATCACCTCATCACCACCATCATCAACATCATCATCAGCATCATCATCGGGACACCATCATCGTCACCATCAACATCATCATCATCGGGACACCATCATCGTCATCGGACCACCATCCTCATCATCATCATCATCATCACATCATCATCAAGAAGAATATCATCAAAAGCATCATCATCGGGACACCATCACCATCAGCAACATCATCATCAACATCATCATTATTATCGGGACATCATCGTTATCGTCACCATCATCATCACCAGCATCATCAGCATCACCATCATCTGGCCACCATCATCAAAATCATCATCACCTCATCACCATCCTCATCATCAACATCATCATCATTATTGGGACACCATCATCGTCATCATCATCAACATCATCATTATTGGGACACCATCAGCATCATCAACATCATCATCGACATCATCATCCTCATCATCAACCTCATCATCACCACCATCATCGGGACACCATCATCATCATCATCATCATCTTCATCATCTTCATCATCTCATCATCATCAGCATCATCATGATCATCAACACCATCGTCATCACCATCGGGACACCATTAGCATCATCAGCATCATCATCATCGGGGCACCATCATCATCATCACCATCACCATCATCATCATCATCAACATCGTCATCATCATCATCACCATCATCATCATCATCATCGGGACACCATCATCATCACCACCATCACCAACATCATCATCATCATCATCAACATCATCGACATCATCATCATCAACATCATCATCATCATCATCCCCATCATCATCATCATCATCATCATCATCATCATCATCATCATCATCATCATCATCATCATTATCATCATCATCATCGGGACACCGACGGGACACCGGCGGGACACCGGCGAGACACCGCGCGGCACCGGCCCCCGAAAGGGAGTCATTTGGTCCGGCCGCGCCTCAGCCACAGCGGGACACCGGCGGGACACCGCGCGGCACCGGTTGCTGGAAGGGAATCATTTGGTTCGGCCGCGCCTCAGCCACAGGAGATTTTTCTCTCGCCCGCCCACGCAGCTTCGCCTCGCCCGCACGCACGGCGCGCACGAACACGAAACCGAAATCGATCTCACCCCCTCACCTCCGATATTAGAAGCGATAGGGGGTACGTACTTTGTCCGCCTCCTCCCCCCTCGGAGGCTCACATACTATCTACCGTGGGGGTCCGTGGGCGATCTTGGGTCGCTCTCGCAAGCGCCTCTTGAGGCCCTCTGCGACAACGCACCACTACCCAAACGTGGGAAGCCTCTTGGTTCTGAGCGCTTGTCATGGCGCCCACATCGCGAAGCGGATTTCGTTCGGAAAACGATAGGGTGGGCCCGGGGTGTCCTGGAGAATTTCGTTCCGGATTTCGAGGTGAATTTAGTGCGGACTTTTGTTGGCCAGGAATGAAGACCAAAATTAATCCACGCGAAATTCACATTGTTTTTCGCTCGCCGCTTCGGGCAAACAACCACGCAGAAATCCACGCAGGAATCCGCTGCAGCACGTCTGCAAGGCCAGTGCAATGACTCTTGATTCTGAGGGCTTGTGGCCTCTTGGCGAGTTCCTTCGGAGCATCCGAACGCGCCTGGAGCAATCTTCAGGCCGCATTGGAGCTAGATTGACCCCTCTTGGAGCTATCCTGGACCACATTGAGCACTCGGACCGCTCGCAGAGCACCTCTCCAGACCCAGGGGAGAGTTTCCCCTGATGAGAAGCGTAGAAAAAAGAGTAAGTCCTCTCCCCAGGTAAACGGATGGTGTGACAGGGCGACCCACCTGAGCCGCAAGAAGCAGAAGGTAGGATTCGAACATAGGGGAGTGCATTCTGGACAGCCGTCCTCTTCCTCCCTGCCGTTTCCCCTCTTCGCATGTTTCTGCACTTTGTGAGCATGCCTGAACGATCCTGGATGGTATCTGCTGTTCTTGTTTGTGGCTATTGCTGTCTCCCGTTGATCCCGCTAAGTTCCTCATATCCTTCTGTGCTGAGCTCCGATACAGTGTGGGCGCGCACCAAGAAACCATCTGCTTTTCGTCAGGGTATCTTGAGTTTCTTGTGTTGCAGGTTTCTCGTCAGGTGCACCTCGCGCGCGGGTTCTCAGGGTTGGGTTCTTTGCGAGGGTTTCTTGCGGTCGCGCCCGCACTGTAGCATAATTGTGCCGTGCCCCCGGCGCTGTCTAGCGCCCACCGTCCTCCCCCCCCGCCCTTGCTGGGCAGCGCGGGCGCCCCCCGCGCCCTTTCGCCAACGTCGCGCCGGCGACCCTCCCACGCGCCGTCTGGCCCTTCCTCGGCGGGGCGGTGGATGGATCCAGCAGAGGGCAATCCCCACCAAGCCGCATCGCGCTGGGCTCGGGCGGCCACCCCGCCCAGGTCGCCGCCGTAGGGTCCGCAGCCTCGTCGCGGGTGGCTCTTCTCTCCCGGCCCTTGGCCTGGCCTGTCTGCTTGCGGTTGCTGCTTTCCCTCCTCCTTGTCCTCCTCCTCCCCCTCCTCCCCCTTCCTTCGCTTCTGCTCGTTGCTTCCCTCCCTTTCCTTTCCTCCTGCTCCCTGCCTGCTGTCTCCGCCTGGCCCGTCTTCTGCCTGCCCGCCCGCCCCGCCGGCCCTGGCCTCCCGCTTGGGCGTTTGTCGTCGTCTGCCTGCTTCTCCCCTCCTCGCCCCCTTCCGCCGGACAGCTCAGCCTGCCCGGAACCAACGTGGCGGCATATAGGGGCCTGACAAGGTAGTCCTGGTGTATGGGTCTCTCTTGGACGCCTAGGGAGTTTTTCCCCAACGTACGAGGCGTTAGTCACTCAAGCTGGGGCTCTTCTGGAGCGCCCTCGGAGCGCCGTGTGGCGTCGTCGACGGGGGGCGATCTGGGGCTGCCGGTGTGGGCGGCGCGCCCCCCAGGGCTCGTCGAGGAACTCAGAACGGATCCGCAGCGCCCCGCAACGTGGAGTGCCCTCGGAGCGCCGTGTGCTGTCAGCGACGGGGGTCGATATGGGACTGTCGGCGTGGGCGTCGCGCGCCGCCGCTGGGGCAGCGCGCGTATCCACCCGGGCCTGCTCCTCGTCGCTCCCCTTTCTTCGCTCTGCTCTGGCGTCGGGCGGTGCAGCTTCTCCGCGACGTCGGCCCCAGGCGCCTCGGCCCCTTCCCCTGGGGCCTCGTCGACGACCTCAGAACGAATTTGTCCATGTCTCGGGCGAGTCTACCTCTTCCCTTGCGCACAGCGCGACGGGAGTTCGTTAGGTGGCCTGCGGTTCAGCCCCGTGTCGCCCCGCCTTTGCCGGAATCGTTCCGTCGCGTGGACGGTTCTGCCACAGTTGTTTTGTCGTTTGGAATTGTTGGTTCCGCATTGGCGTTACATCTCCCTCCTTCTCCCTCCTCCTTCTCAATCCTCCTCAACAATCCCCCCCCCCTCCCAATTCAGCATCCTTTTTCCCTCTGCCTCCTCCCTCCCCCCAACCTCTTCCCCTCTCGTTCTCCCGCCCCCCGCCCCTCCGTTCCCCTCCCCTCCCCCCCCCCTCTCCTCCCACCCTCGCTCTTCCCCCCCCCTCCCCCCCAGGGCACCAAGGGGGGGCCTCTGCCGCCGCCGCGCCGTTGCCGCCGATGGCCACCAGTGGCACGCCGATGGCCCGCCGATGGCCCGCCGACGAGCGGCCGAGGGCCGGAGGCCGCCGAGGTCCCGCCGATGGCGCGCGGGAGGCCCGGGGCGGGCCTCAGGCGCTCGTGGCGCTGCTGATGCTGTACCTGCTGGCCGCCAGCAGCCACGAGCTGCTGCCCCCGGTGGTGCGGGCGGTGCTCGTCGCGCTCTTCGCGGTGGTCGCCCGCCGTCGTCGTCGTCGTCGTCGTCGTCGTCGTTGTCGTCGTCGTCGAGGACCGACGTTTGTTGGCGTTGATGGGCCCTTCTGGAGGGTCCTCGGGTGGCCCCCCGATGCCACGGTTGCATCCGCTTCGGCTTCATGGTCGGGGCGCGGACACGGGCAGGCCTCCACGGCCAGTCTCCCATTACTGCAATCTCTGTTTGGGCAAGGGCACATGTTCCAAGCATGCGCGTAGGGGGGCGAGTTGCACGAGGGGATTTGCCGAGGGAGTCGTCGGCGGGATAGAGTGGGGAGCTGCACTCAGATGGCATATGGTAATCAGGGGAGAAGGGGCGTAGAGGCGTGAATGGGAAGTGCGAAGGGGAGTGAAGGGCAGGGGAAGATGCAGGCAAAGGGACTGTGAAGAAAAGGAAGCCGTTGAGGAAAAAGGAGCGGGGCAGGCGGGAGACCGGGGGAGAGCGTCGGAGGGGGAGAGGTGCGACTCATCTTTCTGTTCCAAGATGGCTCTCCACGGCAATTCATGCAACCATCATCTGTAAGGTCGCGGCGCACAAGATGTTCGTTCTGACAGTCTCGCTGCCGCCCCACAGGCAGCGCTGTCCCCGCCCAGCCGCTCTCGGCCGCCCTAGTCGGCTCCACTGTCTCTTCTTTGTTGTCTGGGCGAAGGCCTTTCAATTCCCTTCCCTCGCCTCCGCGATCACTTGCGAACCTTCACCCCTACGGGACCAATCGACGCGGGGCACGTCCTCCTCCTCCTCTTCCTCCTCCTTTTCTTCCTCCTTCTCCTTCTCCTTCTCCTCCTCCTCCTCCTCCTCCTCCTCCTCCTCCTCCCTCTCCTCCTCCTTCTCCTCCTCCACCGCCTCCTCCCGTTCCTCCGTAACAGTTTTGGCTGAATAATTGTGTTGGTTTGAACGCGCCTTAGGGCCCTCTAGCTGGCCCGAGTTTTCTCGAAGCGTCCTTGCGGCATCGCCATGATCGGGTCCCTCTGTGCTGGCTTCGCGGGCGCTGGCGAACGATGGGCACAGCGATTCTGGCTACGTGGGTTCAGCTGACGTGGCGGCTCAGGTCCAGGAGACTGCAGGAGGCCTACGCTGTGGGCTCCACGGCTGCGTGGCGTGCAGCACGGCGACTGGGCAGAGCTGCGCTGGAAGCGGCCCTGAGCGCCCCGCGAGGCACTGGCGCCCAGGAGGCCGCCCAAGCAGGCTCGGCGATGACCGAGGTCTGGGCTTTCCTGGACTCGGGCGGGCGCCTGTGGTCCGACGTCGGCGGCGGCGGCCCTTGGCCTGCGACGGTCTTGGAGACGTTCCTCACGCACGGCCGCCCGCGTGGCATGCTGCGCGCCGAGGCAGAGGCCTTCACCCCCGTTCGACAGGCTGCGGAGCCCAGCTGGTTCGCCGCATTGGGCCGACGGTTGTCGAGAGCCACGCGGAGGCGGTGGTTTTCGTCTCCTGCGCTCGCCTCAAGGTCGTTGCGGTCGCGGTCCGCGATGCGATGCGGCGTCGCGCCGCCGAGGCAGTTGCACTTCGCGCACCGCGGCGTGTGCAGTTCGGCGTGTGGAGGTGTTGCCTTTCGATCACGACGGGATCCTGGCGGACGCTCCCCTTGGGGAGCCTGGCGCCGTGGAACTGGCCGCTGCGCGCGCTTCCCCATGTGCGCGAGACGATCGGCTCCCACCCTGCGTGGACGCAGTCCTGTCGAGTCGGGGAGCCGACGGACATCTTCGACCTTGACGCGCAGATCGCCGCGGCCAGGGCCTCGGCGGCCGCTTTGGCGCGGCTGACACGGCCGCCATGCAGGTCGTCTGCTGCCCCTGCTGCACCATTCGTTTTCCTTACGAATAACTTTTCCCTGTCGCACCCCGAGGCAAGGTTTTAGGGCGGGCCGGGCGTTTCGCCTGAGACTTTCACACCATTCATGTCGGCACGAACGAAATAGGTACGGAACGAATGGGTACATTGCCCAACAGCAGTTCTTGTTCATTTTGAACCGGATTCGCTGTCCGCGCCGCCGCGGCCTGTGTCCATTTTTTCCGTACCCATTTCGGGCGTCCAAATCGTGATTCCGAAGCTTAAGCATGGCGTCAGTTTCGCAGATGCAGGGCGGGTCGTTTTCAAAATGCGGTTCTCGCACCAGCGCCGCGCACATTCGTTTTTAATGTGTGCAAAAGCTCGGATTGAGGGCGGGTCGTTTTCAAAATGTGGTTTTCGCATCAGCGCCGCGCGCATTCGTTTTGACCATTTGTAATAGTTTCACGGATTGAGGGCGGGCCGTTTTCAATATGTGATTCTCGCTTTAGCGCCGCGCATATTCGTCTTAAGCATTTGCAAGCGTTTCACGGATTGGGGGCGGCCGTTTTCAAAATGTGATTCTCGCCGCAGCGCCGCGCGCATTCCTTCTAAATTGTTGCAAGAGTTTCACGAATTGAAGGCTGGTCGTTTTCAAAGTGTGGTTCTCGCTGTATCGCCGCGCACATACGGATTGAGGGCGGGCCGTTGTCAATTTGTGTTTCTCACGATAGCGCCGCGCACATTCGTTTTCAAACTGCACGAGTTGCACGGATTGAGAGCGGGTCGTTTTCAAAGTGTGGTTTTTGCTGTAGTGCCGCGCACATTCGTTGTATAACATTGAAGAGCTTCACGGATTGAAGGCAGGCCGTTTTCAAAATGTGGTTCTCGTCTTAGCGCCGCGCACATTCTTTAAAATTGTACTAGTTTCACTGTTTGGGAGCGGTTCTGTTTCAACTTGTGTTTCTCGCGCTAGCGCCGCGCACATTCGTTTTAAACCATCGCAAGCGTTTCACGGCATCCCATAATCAACGTACCAGAAGTGTTGTTTTCGAGGGGTTCAGGACTATCCGGATGCAACAGTTATGTTGATTCGCGGAGTTGCAGTCCCAAGCGTAGCATTCTGGCACGATTCCTGATCGTCAGGACGCAACAGTCAGGTTGATCGGTGGCGTGAAAATCCCGAGAACAATGTTTTGGCTTCAAGTTGTTCAAACGGTTATCTTCCAACGAGGCAGTTCCCTCAATAGAAATGAACCGTTGTTGGGGCCTATGACGAGGGAGCTTGGAGGGAGGGTTAATGCCAATATCGTTGATGACTCTTGGGTTTACACTGGTCCTCCTACTCCTCCTTTCTCTCCTCCTCCTCTTCCTCCTCCTCCTCCTCCTCTTTCTCCAGCTGCCATCTCCTCCCGAACCCACATTCAGCAGCGGCAGCGACCCCCCAGCTCCCAGAGAGGTCTAGCGTTCACTCACCTTATACTTGCCTGGCTCGGCCTCCGATGCATCTGGCGAGCCTATACGGGGGGCTGATGGTGGGCCTCCTGCGCGTCGCCCTCTACAACCCCCTTCTCCCTTTGTACCCGCAGGCCGCCTGCGGGAGATCGCGGAAACCCTGAACTGCGACCTAATTCTGCTGCCAGGGACAAGGGTGAGGGAATGGACAGGCCGTGAATTTCACACAGAGGATATAGGTAACAAGTTTACAGTGATCCACTTCGGCTGGCAGAGGGCTCCTTTCAGTAACAACAGTGCGGGGGTATGCATAGTACTGGGTCGAAGATTGAAGCGCCAACATGTGTATGCGGTACATGCAGGACCACGGAGTATTGCAGGAAGATATGGAGAAATCAGGATCAAGAGCGGGCAAGTCGATCTAACGGCTATATGTGCGTACCCCCCACCTATATATGCGAGTGGACATAAACTACGAGCACAGATCCAGGCGGCAACGACAGTCATGAAACACATTCGACACCGACTCGAACTAACCCGAGCGAGAAGTACGCCTATATGTGGTTTGGAAATAAATTCTGGCTTTGGGCTCTGGGAGGACGGCACCCCTGTGGATCTAGACCAAGACCTCCTAGGGCCCCACCATCTTCGACCACGTGGACCCGCGGGCGATTTTTTTTCGAATATGCTCCTCGATCTCGGGATGATGTCACCAGGGACTTTCTGGCCAAAAGCAGGACCCACGTACTTTGGGGCCCAGGGAGATACATCAACGCTGGACATCTTCGCCATTCCAAAAGGTCTAGGGCCAGGGATTCGCCACTGCAATGTTGCATGGCAAGCAGGTCGCAGTCTTCAACTGATCCCCAAGAGCGCCCCCCCGTGACCACGTCCCTGTCGTTCTCGAAATGCAGTATGAGCCCCCCATCCCGATACCTCTGGCACCGAAAGCAAGATGGGATTTCCAGAAGCTCTCTACAGCACTTCAGACGGGCATTGGAAGAGAGGATTTCCATCATGATTTGGAAACAGCCATGCTGGCACAAGCAGATTATTTTAACGAGCGCACCACGAACCACCAGCACACTGATGACTTCTACGACAGGTGGGCGGAGATTGTACAGCAGTTTGGCCTTCAACATTTCGCACTGGAAAATAAGTCTACCGACGCAGCGGAACATCGGCTTCAGCAAGAACGAGTATCCCTGGTCAAACAACGCAAGATTCACCGACTCGAGGCGGCTGAGTACTGGAATACATATGGACACCTTCCTGATTTTACTGATGATTACCTTGGCGTATTGGCCAAGATCAAGCGCATCTCATGCCAACTCCGACGTTGGGCTCGTCGGCGTCGAGCGGCACACCGCGAACGCCTCCATCAAGAATTGCGAGAGGCGCGAGCTTTGGGCCAGCAGGCTGAAGTACACAAGCTTGCACGCCTACTTTCTGGACGATCAACGGGTGCGAAGAACCGACGTTACAATACTATTTCTTCTCATAAGCCGTCACTGGAAGAACTGAAAGGACATCTCGCACGACGCGGATCTGACGGGGGCATGGAAGCGACGCATATTCCCGATTTGAATCTCATGCTTCGCGACTTCCTCTCGGAGGAACCACCCATCATCAAGCGTCGCAGCCCTAACGTGGAGATCACCGCCTCTGTCATGGCCCGACAAATGATTTGGAAGCTAAGACGAGCCCGTGGCCGACGCTGCGGGCCGAAGTGGAGTGTGCCATCGGAACTGGCATTGATGAAACTTGCACCTGGACATCTTTCGAAGCAGCGATATTCCAAGTTCGGCCTGGGGTACGGCGTCACCTCTGTCCATCACGACGCACCAGATGAGCGACCAGGTTTGGGCCATCAATGGCAGGCTTCGCCGCCGACTGTCGCCGCGACCCCCTGCTGGATACCCCAGGCCCAGGACAAACAACACCAGGACCAGGCCCCCAGGGATCTCGGACCACCACACTCGGGCCGGCGCCGACTGGAGAACACAGCCCAAGAGGCAACAGGTGGCGAGACCAACCTCGGAGCCAGGGATCCCCTCCTCTCTCGCGAGAGTGGCTACGACGAAAATGACCTGAACAATTCGGAGGCTGACAGGCTACCTCTACGCTGGACCACCGCCGACGAGAATGACGCCGACCCTTTTCGCAGAGATTGCCAACCTCGATTACGACATTCAGGCAGCGGAATCAGAAGTACCAGCTGAGCAACTTCCTCATCCTGAACCTCGGACGCGGCAGCCAACTACGCCCCACTCAGGACGGGGGGCCTCGGAAGATCAACGAGCCCCTGATGGACGTGAACACATCTTGGCCGCAACAGCTGAGATGACGAG